TCTTAACTTGTATTTTTCTACACCTACCCCTCCCCCAGGGAGCGGTAAAGATGTTCTCGCTAGCGCTTTGACGCTCGTTGTTTTCCCTATTTTTAGACAGCGAATTAGGCGTCCGGAGAGTCGCATTGTAAAACCCCTTAATTTTTGAATATATTATGATAAACATAGATAAATTATTTATATCGTGATAAATATCATTTATTAGTATGCTAGAAATTGATTTGAGATCAATTCAATATATATATGAGTGTATATAAGTGAGTATATGGGAATTCGGGAGCGAAACATGCACAAACTTGCACAAAACAGTCTTGCAGATAGCTCTTTGGCCGGTCGACTGGCTGCGCTGGCCGGTCGACCGATGCCAAGCAACCGGTCGACCGACGGGCTTCCAGTTTTCTAGCAGGTTTCGTTTTCGGGTCGTTTTCAGATTTGTTTCGGGCATAGTTTTATACCTGAGTATATATACTCATTGTAAACCTTTTTTTAATCATCTTTCATGTGATATAATCAGTAGTCACCTTCCCTCTCAAACTCTAACCCTAGATTTTGAGCTTTTGGGAGTTTCCTGAGGCGTTCATCGAGAGGAAGGCGGGATTTGTATCGTGGTCAAAGGGGGATTTGCTCACGCGTGTTTGGGAATTGTAGCACTTCGTTTGAGGCAAGATCATCTTCCTCCAAACCTTTCCCTTAGTAAATATCATGTTTATATTAATTATTTTGGTTAATCTAATATTAAAGTTTAACCCGATGTTTTAGAAACTTAGTTTATGAAGTTTAATCGTTAAACCAATGTAAGATTCGTAGATTTTAATCGTTGCTTTATTAGTTTGATGGTCATGGAGGGTTATGTCTTATTTCATTTTAATTTGTCAATCTATGTTTTAATATGTTTTAAAACCTTTAAGCCTTTCAAATGAGATTTTTTTGCTAATTTAGATGTTTAAACCCTAATTATGTGATAGCTAGGTAATGTTATCTTGTTTAGAATAATTTATAACTATTAAATGATTAGAAATCATCATGTTTATTAATCATGTTGAGAATATATGCATTTATTTGAGAATTTTGGTTAATTAGGTTGTTAAACCCTAATTTGTGTAATAATCATGTTTAAGTCAACCTCTGTTAATAACTAATTATAAAAGTTTAAATTTTTTTTTGCATTACATGTTAATAATATCTATAGTTAAGGAAAGATGCAAATTTTATAAACATGAGAAAACTGTTTGTGTCGTCAGGAATTGTCAAATCCTATCGGGCCGGTCGACTGGCTAAGGGCAACCGGTCAACCGATGGGGCCTTCTAAGCGTGCACATCACGCACGTTGCCGTCGGTCGACCGCCTCGGTCGACCAATGCCCTATGGGCGGTCGACCGCCTCGGTTCCCTTCGATTATTTGAGATTATTTCTTTTGCGTGTTTAATTGTGCACGCGGGGTTCGACGCGCACGATGATACACGTACAACCATGGGCATACACGTATAGTGTTGTAGCACACACACACACACACACACGGATATTCCGAAGAGGATTGTTACAAGTATTGTTGCGATCACACTTGAGATATGAGTTATTTAAACTGTATACATATACACATATGGATATCGTTGATGGGCACCGCTTAGTACTACTTGGGATAGTGCGTCGGTATACCATTAGTACAGGCCACTGAGTCAATTTGTAGGATACCTAATCTGGTAGGGATAGTGCATCGATATACCATTAATACAGGTCATTGAGTCGATTTGTAGGATACCTAATCTGGTAGTCTGTCCCGTACGATGATGCGATGAGGCTTGTGAGCAGTATTTCTAGGATACTTATTTTGGTAGTCCATCTCGCACAGAGATGTGATTAGACTAATGAGTCGTGCACATATTCATCTCATCACATCCAAGACCACCAAATTGCCAGGCGTGCCTCTAGCGCCAAGACACCGCCCTTGTCGTTACGCCCAGAGAAACGCCAACATTTATAGACCAAATTCTTTCATTCAACATCTGAAACTTCCAGATCTGTTCTCATCATGGACACCCGCTTGGACAATTTTGGCAATACACTTGGAACAATGAATGACCAGAAGCAACATATGCACCAATGGTCACTACTTCATGGCGATCCACCTCCTCCACCACCACAATGAGCAGTAAGTCCCTTTTCTCTTTTTTTTTCCAGTTATTTACACATTGGGGACAATGTGCAATTCAAGCATGGGGGAGTGGGTTTGTTGGGATGATGTTTCCAAAGCCAGAAAGAGAAGTCCTCGAAGGCTAGAAAATCAGTGCCCTTGTTCAAAGCTCATTCGGGCGGTGCTGTCTGAGTGCAACTGCATCAAGGTAGTCACCGAGAGAGTTTCGGTGTTCGAAAGGCTTAGTACCGAGGCGCCAAAACCAAGGCATAGGCGTTTCAGTTATTTACACATTGGGGACAATGTGCAATTCAAGCATGGGGGAGTGGGTTTGTTGGGATGATGTTTCGTGTATGCTTTGGTGTTTTTGAGTGCTTGTTTTCTGTGTTGGGATTTTTCATTTAGCTAAAAAAAAGGAGTACCACTGTTCAGCAAAACCTTTTAGCACGTACATCATTTATTTCACATGCCCCATTTTTCGGTGTTCGAAAGGCTTAGTACCGAGGCGCCAAAACCAAGGCATAGGCGTTTCCGGCAAAGAAGAATGGTGGTTGAAGATGGAGAATTTCTGAGGGTCACCACCAACATGACCAGCAGAGGGAGATTGGCATGGGATAATCTCGAGTCGATCCTGAAAGCATCCCGGCCTAGAACTCGTCTGCAGTCCAGAGCCATTGTACGAGGAACTTATGGTAGGGTTCGGACAAGAACACCTTCAGAAGATGAAGAATCGAATTCCAGCTCTGTTGTCGCATCAGATAACACGGTATCCAGCGATGGACAACCCTGCGAGTCGTTCATGATAAGCGCGGAACAAGTGGCCAAGATGCTTGAAGACGCCTTAGCTAAGCAACAGGAGAGCTTCAGGTTCGAAATGCAGATGGCCAAAAATTGAATAAAATGCAAGGAAACCGAGTGCTCCTTTGAGACCTTAAGTAGGAAGAGTATGACCCATTATGATGAGATATGTGTCTGTCACAGGGAGTTTTGGGTAATCAAAAAAAATTTAACTTTGTCATGCCATTTCTTTTTCCAACGTTTATGAGTTGAGTCACTTGCACTAACGTACGTGAACGCCTACAGATACATTTTCTTCAACTTTGAACTTGAAACAATATTTCTATTTTGACATTGGGTTGAGTGGAATAATGTTGCATGTGGACTTGAGAATAGTGGATACCTTTACCAATTTCTTCGACGACGACACCGAGATATCTATCGGATCATTGCTCGATGAGAAGCAGAAAGACGGGGAGTTAGTCGACACCTTCGTCAAAAGGTTCCGGAACAAGGCGATGAATTGTCGGGACCCGATCACTGAGGAGTTCATTCTCCAGACTTGCCACAACAACCTTGCACTGGACGTGTTGGAAGCAATGGGAACAGCACCGTCTGACACTTGGAAGGACTTGAAGGTGCATGGTGAACAAGCCGAACGCTTCCTCCGAAGGAAGAAGGCCAAGAGGAACCGACCGACGGCTAATCCTCTGAACTCAAACTTCGCTTCTCGTGGTAAGGGCAAAACACCTGCAGCTACTAGCAGTGCTAATCAAGCGTCACACCAGCAATCCCAAAGGCAGCAAAAGACTTCGGGTCCGAGACTCCAAAAAGAGTACTCTTTCAAGGACGAAGAGCCATGTTGGATGACAGCAGTCAGTTATCATGCGATCTGGAGCAATATTTGAAGTTATCTTTCAACACATTTTTTTTTCCAGAATAAAAAGGGAGATGCCCTGAAGCATCAAACCAGGACCAGAGGCTGGAGATCTTGATTTTTCTTTCTTCTTCTTCTCTTCTTCTCTCTAAAAACTCTTAGATTAGTTTTCTTTTGATTTGGAACCTGCTGTTTGTGGAGAATTGTGTGCAACTTCAACACTACGGTTTATCTTTCTGATCTATCTTAATTTTTAGTTTATGATTATGATCTTATATATTGTTATCATGTTTTCTATTTCAATTATGTGTGAGTAATTGTCTTATCTGGGATTGAACTAGGTTCGGCCATGGTTATGAATTAATGAACTGATTGTTGTTGTTATTGATTGTTCGATTTGCATTATTCAGTTACTAGTATCTAATTGCCTAGGGTTAATTCAATTGGCCACTGATTTAATTCTTTTAGGATGTTGATTTGAACTGAAAGGTTAGATTGACGCCGGAAAATAGGAAGCTGGGGGTGGATGATTCATGTAACGGGAAGTTCCCAAAAGAAATCCATATAGTATATTCTTAGGAAATAATCCAGTCACCACAGCAAGATGATGAATAAGAAACTCCCATTCAAATTCTCACCGCGTCTGTGCACTCGTGCACTTGCGGATTTCAGTGAACAAGTTTTTGGCGCCGTTGCCGGGGACTTCGGCATTGTTAATATTCACTTTTTCATTGTTTGACTAGACTAAACATTTTATTTCATTTATTTTATTTTTATTTTTTTCGTTTGACTTTTTTTTAGTGCAGGCACCCTTGTATGCCCAGATCCTTACGACTTGGAGAACCAATCGAGTGTGATCCCGAGATTGAAAGGACCTTGCGTCATATTAGGAAGAAGGCACGAGAAACAAAGGACAATTTGAAAAGTAAAAACACCATGGGAGACCAAGAAAACCAATGCAATCAAGACCGATCCTTGAAGGAGTTTGCATCACCAACCACCCATAGCTCCCAATCTAGCATCTTGAAGCCTAATGTTGCTGCCAACAATTTTGAACTCATGCCTTCACTCCTCTCCATGGTTCAGCAAAACCAATTTGGAGGCACTCCAACCGAAGACCCAAACCTCCACATCTCAATCTTTCTGGAGTATTGTGACACCTTGAAGATGAATGGAGTGTCAGATGATGCAATCAAGCTAAGGTTGTTTCCCTTCTCACTAAGAGATAAGGCAAGGGCTTGGCTGCAATCACTTCCACTGGGCTCCATCACTACATGGGACCAACTCTCAGAAGCGTTCCTTGCTAAGTACTTCCCTCCGAGCAAAACAGCTCAATTGAGAAATCAGATAACAACCTTCACTCAAAAAGAAGGGGAGTCATTGTATGATGCATGGGAGAGGTACAAGGATCTTCTAAGGATGTGTCCACATCACGGGTTAGAGGATTGGCTCATAATTCACACTTTCTACAACGGTCTTCTCTACAACACAAGGATGACCGTGGATGCTGCAGCGGGTGGTGCATTGATGAACAAAAGTGTACGAGATGCAAAACAACTCATAGAGGATATGGCACAGAATCATTTCCAGTGGTCAGGTGAGCGCTCTTTACCCAAAAAGAGCGGGAGGTATGATGTAGATGCATTAGACCACATTGCTTCTAGAGTAGATGCTTTATTTCAAAAATTTGACAAGATGAGCATGAATTCAGTAGCATCTAACTCTACTAACTATGAAATATGTGGTATCATTGGACATTCTGCTGTGGAATGTCAGATTGGAAACTCCCCTTCCCCTAATGCACCATTATCTGAACATGTTAATTATATAAATAATTTTAATCAGAAAGGGGACCCTTTTTCCAATACATACAACCCGGGGGGGAGAAATCATCCTAATTTATCCTATAAAAATCCACCCCTGAACCCGACTCCTCACTCAAATTTTCGACCTCCAGGTTTTCAAACCCCTAGACTCCCTTACCCTAGTCCTCAAAAGTCCAACTTAGAAAGCTTGATGGAAAATTTCGTGACATCCCAGAATAAGCAAAATGAAGAATTTAGAAATCAGAATAGGATCATGAATGATGCCATTAAGAACCTAGCCTCTAAAGTTGACTCCTTAGCCACCCACAACAAAATGCTAGAGAATCAGGTCACTCAACTAGCCCAACAATTTAACTCTTCTTCTAGGTCTTTGGGTATGTTTCCTGGACAACCTGAAACCAACCCCAAGGAATCTATCAATGCCATTACACTTAGGAGTGGAAAAGAGCTAGAGACACCAATGATGAGGAGTGATCATAGGGATGTGGGTGATGAGAGTGAGAAGTTGGTGACAAGTGAGAAAGAGCATATTGGTGAGAAAGGGGAGAAGGTTGAGAGATATGTAGCACCTGCACCTTATAAGCCTCCACTACCCTTCCCTCAAAGGCAAGTTAAAGCTAAGTTGGAAAAACAGTTTGGGACATTCATAGAAATATTAAAAAAATTGCATATTAACATCCCATTTGTTGAAGCCATTTCCCAAATGCCATCCTATGCCAAATTCTTAAAGGAGATTCTATCAAATAAGAGGCGATTAGAGGAATATGAGACTATAGCCTTGACCCAAGAGTGTAGTGACATCATACAAAATAAGCTACCACCTAAGCTTAAAGATCCTGGCTCATTTTCAATCCCTTGCACAATTGGTGATATGTCAATTAATCGTGCTCTATGTGATCTCGGTGCTAGCGTCAGTCTTATGCCATTGTCTATATGTAACAAGTTATAGATGGGAGACTTGAAGCCTACTACTATCTCCCTCCAATTGGCGGATCGATCGGTTAAACGTCCGGTAGGTATATTAGAGGATGTACCCATCCAGGTTGGTAAATTCTTTATTCCAGTTGATTTTGTTATTCTTGAAATGGAGGAGGATTCTCAAATCCCCATTATATTGGGAAGACCTTTCCTTCCTACTGCTGGAGCAGTAATTGATGTGAAGAATGGAAAGCTCTCTCTCAATATAGGGGATGAAAAGGTGAATTTTGATTTGTTTTCTGCTATGAAGTTTCCACTAATTGATGATACTTGTTGCAGGATTGACACGATTGACATGGTGGTTAGAGAAGATTTTACCAGAGATATCTCAAGTGATCCACTTGAGAAATGTTTAGTAAAGAATGGGGTACCAGATGATGATGATCAGGAAATAACTTCCTATGTTACAATGCTTGATGAAAAGCCAACCTACACCAAAACCACCTACATCAAAGAACCTGATATAGTGGTCGAAATTGCAAGGGGGCTGAATGACCAGGTTGTGTCTGTAAACACAGCTGTGTCAAAAAGCAGCAGAAACAGCCCAGAACAGGTTTGTGAAGAGAAAACTGCACCTGGGAAGATGCTGAATAATGATTCCACACGGCCATGGTGTGTCCGTAGACACAGTCGTGTCAAAAAGCAGCAGAAGAAGTCTAGAACCAGTCCATTTCCACCAGTTGAAGTGGAACATAAGGCACATTGGGCTATCTAGAGCATTCATTTAGATTTGAAAGAATCAGGGGAACAGAGAAAGCTTCAACCAAATGAACTTGATGAATTGAGATTGGATGCGTATGAGAATGCCAAGATTTACAAAGAAAGAACAATGAAGTGGCATGATCAACATATCCTCCGTAAAGAGTTTACAGAAGGAGACTTGATACTTCTACTTAATTCCCGACTCAAGCTTTTTCCGGGCAAACTTTGTTCGAGGTGGTCTGGACCATTCCAAGTGTGCAAGATATACCCATTTGGGGCTGTCGAAGTATGGAGTGAAGCCACGGGATCTTTCAAGGTCAATGGACAGTGATTAAAGTATTATTTCACAGGAACTCCGATCGAGAAGTTGGGTACTTTTACCCTTCCCGATTCATCATCATTGTGAGCATTGAAGGGGTCGAGCTCATGACCATAAACAAGCGCTTCTTGGGAGGCAACCCAAGTTTCTCTTTCATTTTATTTTTCCTTTTAGTTTTTTTAAATTATTAGTTTTCATGACATGTAATCAAGTTTCCGTGAACTGGTGTGTAGGTGAATGACAAAAGGAAAATAGGTAACAGAGAGTTCAAGGCTAAAGAGGACAGAAGGAAAAATAGTGAAAACACAGTTTACACGGCTAGGCCGTGTCCACCAACACAGCCGTGTAGCAGTCGGGACAGTCTTCATCTCATTTCCAGAGTCTACCACACCCTGGGAAGGCGCCTACCACACCCATGGTCAAAAAAAAAGAAAATATCAGACTGCTCCTGTCCTCACTTTCAACACTTCCGCCTCTCTCTCATTCATCACATCCAACACCACCAAATCGCCAGGCGTGCCTCCAGCGCCAAGACACCGTCCTTGTTGTTATGTCCAGAGCAACGCCAACATTCATAGACCAAATTCTTTCATTCAACATCTGAAACTTCCAGATCTGTTCTCATCATGGACACCCGCTTGGACAATTTTGGCAATACACTTGGAACAATGAATGACCAGAAGCAACATATGCACCAATGGTCACTACTTCATGGCTATCCACCTCCTCCACCACCACAATGAGCAGTAAGTCCCTTTTCTCTCTTTTTTTCCAGTTGTTTACACATTGGGGACAATGTGCAATTCAAGCATGGGGGAGTGAGTTGGTTTGTCGGGATGATATTTCATGTCTTTTATGTATGCTTTGGTGTGTTTTTCTCTGTGTTTTTGAGTGCTTGTTTTCTATGTTTAAAGAGAGAGAGGCTAAAAAAAAAGGAGTACCACTGTTCAGCAAAACCTTTTAGCACGTACATCATTTATTTCACATGCCCCATTGTTAAAAAAAATCTTTGTTTCATGTTCAGTTGGTTAGGATGTTATCTGTTCGAGTTCCACTTTGTCGATACTTAACTCTAAACATTGGAGAGATAGGAATGGATTTTGGCTCAACCCATCTAATTAAAACCTAAGCTTCTTTGGTGACTTGGAATACTTTTTGGTTACTGGAGAAACACTCGGCCTTGTAAAAAAAAAGTCCTAAAGTCTGTTGCACCGAGTACCTGGCACCGCACCCTCAGAAGTATGGCTGTCACGTCAGTAGGTGTTAATTATGACGGGTCAAAAAAAATGAAAAAAAAAATTGAATAAAATGCAAGGAAACCGAGTGCTCCTTTGAGACCTTAAGTAGGAAGAGTATGACCCATTGTGATGAGATATGTGTCTGTCACAGGGAGTTTTGGGTAATCAAAAAAAAATTTAACTTTGTCATGCCATTTCTTTTTCCAACGTTTATGAGTTGAGTCACTTGCACTAACGTACGTGAACGCCTACAGATACATTTTCTTCAACTTTGAACTTGAAACAATATTTCTATTTTCTTTGAATCTGTACCCACTCATGTGTGTGTTTCCATCTGTTTTGCTTGAGGACAAGCAATAGTTCAAGCATGGGGGAGTTGATAAACATGAATATTATCTACAAGGAATGCAAGGAAAGTGGCTACACGGTCACCCAGTGTTCAACAACACAGGCGTGTTGATTACAGAAGAAAAGCCCAGAAAGCAGAGCGAAACAGAATTAAACACGGCCTGGTCGTGTCGATCTGCACAGCCGTGTTGGATGACAGCAGTCAGTTATCATGCGATCTGGAGCAAATATTTGAAGTTATCTTTCAACACGTTTTCCTAGAATTAAAAGGGAGACGCCCTGAAGCATCAAAGAAGGACCGGAGGCTGGAGATCTTGATTTCCTTTTCTTCTTCTTCTCTTCTTCTCTCTAAAAACTCTTAGATTAGTTTTCTTTTGATTTGGAACCTGCTGTTTGTGGAGAATTGTGTGCAACTTCAACACTACGGTTTATCTTTCTGATCTATCTCAATTTCCAGTTTATGATTATGATCTTATATATTGTTATCTTGTTTTCTATTTCAATTATGTGTGAGTAATTGTCTTATATGGGATTGAACTAGGTTCGGCCATGGTTATGAATTAATGAACTGATTGTTGTTGTTATTGATTGTTCGATTTGCATTATTCAGTTACTAGTATCTAATTGCCTAGGGTTAATTCAATTGGCCACTGATTTAATTCTTTTAGGATGTTGATTTGAACTGAAAGGTTAGATTGACGCCGGAAAATAGTAATTGAACAAGAATTAATTGATCACGAAAGTAGGTTAATTATTCTTGAGAACATGAGGGATTAACAAGAACTTAATGGGTTTAATTTGGTTTAACACTATGAAAATAGGTTGTTAGGCTGAATTAGGCACGACTTTTAGTCGTCGAAAGAGACTAATAGTTATCATAGGTTAGTCGTTCTTAATGCATTGAGAGATTCGATAACAATTGATTAATTTGTTGATTCAAACCAGAGTTGAAACCGAAGTTCAATCCTAAATCCTTTTAATTGAGTGAATTCGTCGTTGATACTAGCTAGCGTGTTTGTTATTGATAATCAAAAATCATACTTTTTAACACAATTGGTTTAGATAGTCACAAAACAGTGAAAATCAGTAATTAACAACGAAGTCCCTGAGGATACGACCTTGCATCACTACAACGATATCCGTGCACTTGCGGATTTCAGTGAACAGTACACGAGATTATGTATTTATATTTATATTATCTACCAAGCAATAGTGGAAGATATTTTTTGTTTGATATTATGGTGACTTTACTTTCCTGTATTGTTTCTTTTATTCTTAGTTGGGAATTGATAATTAGTGATTCACAATTTGAGACATATGTTATATTATTAATGTTTGAGATCTCATTTACTGTGACTTGTAAGTTCTCCTCGTGAAAATATAGATGTCAGGATGAGCTGCAAGCTAAGTCAGGGCCGGAGCTGCAGCAGGCTATACAGTATTTTATTGATATCACAGTGCTAATTATAGCTTGATAGTGTTTGCTCATATCACATGACGGGCAACAAGAAATTATTTGCCACCCTATCAAGAAGGAGACAATGTCACCTTTGGTGGCGGCGAGAAAGGTAAATTTATAGGTATTGGTAATATTGGTAAGACACATTCTCCTGTAATTGAGGATGTTTATTTTGTTAAAGGATTAAATCATAATCTTCTTAGTATTAGTCAATTAAGTGACAAAGGCTTTGACGCTACTTTTAAATTGGATAAATGTGTTGTTAGTATGAATGATAAAATTATTTTTGTTGCTTTTAGAAGATCTAATGTTTACATTTTTGAGATGAATAAGCTTTTTGATCAAGATGTGAAATGTCATGTCGCGGTGGATGAAAATCCTTAGATTTGGCACAAGAGACTTGGACATGCTAACATGGAGTTGATATCTAAGCTATCCAATAAGAACTTCGTAAGAGGTCTACCAAGTCTTACCTATATTAAATATTCTCTTTGTGAGGAATGGGCCAAAGGTAAACAAATTAAAAATTTCTTCAAATCCACAAATGAGGTATCCACTTTTAAATATTTGTAATTACTTTAAAATAAACATTTTCGTCATTTTTGTGCCCATTATGGTATAACTCATATGTTTTCCGCTCCTAAAACACCACAACAAAATGGTGTTATTGAACAGAAAAATCAAACCATACAAGAGATGGCACGTACAATGATTAATGCTTTTGATTTGCCAAAATACTTTTAGGCGGATGCCGTCAATACGGCTTGCCATGTCTTAAATCGTGTTTTAATTAGACCTATTTTTAAGAAAACTCATTATGAACTCTTTTTTGGCAAAACCCCAAATATTGGATATTTTCGTAACTTTGGTTGCAAATGTTTTATCTTAAACACTGAAGATCACTTTGATAAGTTTGATTCAAAGATTGAAGATCACTTTGATAAGTTTGATTCAAAGATTGATATTGGTATATTTTTGGGATATGCGTCTAGGAGTAAGGCTTATAGGGTTTCAATAAATGAACACTCGTTGTTAAAGAGTCTATAAACGTTACTTTTGATGAAACTAATGATGGTTCACAAAATGGTTTGCCTAGGAATGATGATGATATTGAGGGAGGATTGGAGCTTTTGCAAATAATTGACAAACCCTCAACGGACGCACCAAATATTGGGGAAGGCAACAATGAATAAAATCTAGAAGAACTCCCTAAGATATGAAAATTTGCACCGGATCATCCCAATGAACAAATTATAGGGAGTCTGTCCAAAAGCGTCATGACTGGCTTAAAAGCAACGAGCGAATGTGGTAGTTTAGTTTTCTTATCTCAAATTGAGCCTAAACGTATTGATGATGTTTTAAAAGATGAGTTTTGGGTTTTAGCTATACATGATGAATTGAACAATTTTCAAAGAAACAATGTTTGGAAACTAGTTCCTAGACCTAAAGATACTCATGTTATTGGAACTAAATGGGTTTTTAGAAATAAACTTGATGAATTTGGCATAGTTACTAGGAATAAAGCTCATTTACTTGCCCAATGATACAATCAAGTGGAGGGCATAGATTGTGATGAAACTTTTGCATCGGTTGCACGATTGGAATCAATTAGGATGTTTTTGGCCTTTGCTAGTTTTAGAAATTTTAAGTTATTTCAAATGGATGTTAAAAGTGCTTTCTTGAATGGTTTTATAGAAGAAGAGGTATATGTTGAGCAACCCCCGGCTTTATTGATTCTTCATTTTTAGATCATGTTTACCGGGTTCAAAAAACTTTATATGGGTTAAAACAAGCTCCTAGCGCTTGGTATGCTCGCCTCTCAAGTTTTCTTGTTGATAATGGTTTTTAAATTGACAATACTCTTTTTGTTAGAAAAATGAAAAATGCTTTCATTTTGGTTCAAATTTATGTTGATGATATTCTTTTTGGTGCCACTAATGAATCTTTGTGCAAGAATTTTTCCAAAGTTATGCAAGATTAATTTGAGATAAGCATGATGGGAGAGCTTACATTCTTTCTCGGTCTCAAAGTCAAACAAACAAATGATGGAATATCCGTGTCACAAAGCAAATATGCTAGAGTTGGTCAAGAAATTTGAGATGGAGAATTCAAAACATGCACCAACTCCAATGAGCACAACCATCAAATTGGATGCGGATGAGAGTGGTGAGAAGGTAAACCAAAAGCTTTATCGATGTATGATTGATAGTCTACTTTATCTTACCGCTAGTAGACCGGATATAATATTTAGTGTTTGTGCATGTGCACCCTTTCAAGCTTCTCCTAAAAAATCTCATTTGGTTACGGTTAAGAGAATTATCAAGTATATTAATGGCACCATAGAACTTGG